CTAAAATGAATCATTTTAATGTTCTTTAAGAGATAGTAGCAATAAAACTGGGTATCATTCCAGTTTTCTACCAAACATCTCTCGGCTTCACTGAATGATAGCCTCCACTCCACATCTGCATCTTTACTCAAAGCGTGACCTTTTGCAACGGCATGCAGACTCGAGCTTTTCAGCTTTTCAGCCAAATCGTCTGGGATATTTGAGCGATGAAAAATATCCTTAGCAAAAGTAGGCCATTGTTTACACCTGATCGCGTGGACAACGTCATACGATGTGCTCTCAGTCGCTGATAGCGTGAGAGCTGGTCCATGAGCTTTAAAGYTGCTCCCAGTTGTCCCCCATTCTTGCATAGTTTGMACAAACCCGATGCTCCTCAAGTAATAATGTCGTCCTATTTTTCGTATTTGATAATCTTGAAAGYTGTAAACTTTTCGTGTGTCATGTGGAACAAYTATTTTGATAAACCCGGCGTGACAGCCTGTCTTGACAAATGGTAGTTCGTYCACATTATCAACYATMTTSSCCGTGTATTCATACGCCGCCACCCATGATGCTACAAGCATCATATCCAAATCTCCAGCATTTGGCATTCCCTGGGTGTAACTGCCAGTATAAAGGGGCCAGGACTGAGAGGTTTTAAGGTCTGGAAGTAATTCACGCCACTTTCTTGCATATCCTTCCCAAACTTTGGWWGTGTTCATCCTCAGRCGACGGGTGGACATTTCATGTGATAGTATCTCCAAAACAAAGTCGTTCCATGAAGCTGATTGTAATTYCTYTGGCAAAAGTGTATCATTTATTAGACCTCTCAGATTTTGTATTATATTCCCCGTGCAGTCTTCCATTTTTGCTGTGAATACTGTAAACGACACATGGTAATGTTAGAAAGAAAAAAAAACTCTAATGCTTGCGCTCTAGAAATAGCCAAGCCGTGCTAAATAGCGCTTAATAGAGTCATTTTAAATCGTCTGTGAAACAATAACTACTAGTCAGTGTTTAATAGTAACTATTAGGGTGTAGTAGGCTACAAAAGGCAAAATCAAAACCGTTTTTGCCTAATTTAGCTAGTAGGGGGTATTAAATAGTATTTAAATCGGCAATTCCTATTTCACAGACGGATGAAAATGACTCTAATGATGTAGATTAAATATATAACACAAACAAAGGAGTTTGCATAGAGTGAGGTCATCATTTAATTTGACTGTTTAAGTGTGATAGTCAAATAGACACACCAAAAAATATGCAATTAGTCTGAGTGTTCTAAGGTGTATTAGTGTAGTATTTCACAGTTTTTTTTCGCTTTACTCTAAGTGCGTTGGCTCTAGTCAAGTACTAATTACAGCACAATGATTTGAGTGAAGTGAAAAAGTCTGTGAAACAAAACTGGACTATTAACGTGTGATTGTCAAATAGACACAGAACAAAACAATGCAATTAGAGCGTACTAAGATGTATTAGTGTAATATATATTTCACGGGTTTTTTGACTTCGCTCTAGGCAACAGAAAAGGAAGAAATTAGCATAATTTAACACCTGTTTTGTGCTAATATTGATAGACATGGAAGATTTAGTGCAAATGTATTGCGTTCCACTGGTTTTATTATTAGCAAACGGAATACACTGCAAAAAGGATTCTGGCATAGAGACAGAAAGGTATTCATGCAAAGCCCGTCGGGTCGTGACTCGTGGTATGTTTAGTTCTTACGCTCACCGTGATATTTGATCTACAATTCAAAGTATTTCTGTATTAATTATACTCGTTTCAATATTCTTGTTTTTGGCCTCACTGAAATACGATTAGGCAGTCGCAATTCTGAAAGAGGAGTTCAGACTTTGAATATTTTAAGCCGAATATTTGCCAAAAGTAAACAAACGTAACCGAAGCGTTTATCGCGCTTCCCTATCCATAAGTTCATAACATAGGATATTTTTTCCCGATGCAACCGAAGCAAACTCGCCTTTTTGGTTAAAATAAAATACCGAAATAAAGCGTTTTATGATCTGATGAACTATATTGTTGTTGATATTTTTAGAAAGAACTGAAGCGTATTATTACCCTTTTCTATGAGTGATATTATACCTAACAGAAGCTTTCACTTTCTGTTTATTTATCTTTCCTTGCGAAAAAGCGCTAGAATCGAGCCATCAAGAGCCTGGGATACATTATAGCCTGAAGCGTATAATATTTTTTAGATCGAATTTTAAAGTTGATTTCTTTTATCGAATTCATTGGTATAGTCAACACTTTTCATCTCTAACACTTACGTTTTATCAAGGAAGATACAAAGACGACTTACAATTCTCCATCATTCCACTACAAATATCCGAATCCTTTTGTTCTGGAAGTTATGTTGACCACAACAGGTCAGCATCTGCATTTGTCTGGCGTTGAAGGAAAGAAGATGCTCGAGAGCACAAAACATACAGACGGCTTATCAACAGGAAGCCGATAATACATTAATCGATGCAAATTTGACGCTACCACAGGAGGCCCAGCTTTTTATATTAATTTTTTTTTGCAACTTCTTCTTTCTTTTTTACTATATTTTTTCTATAGATTCTCAGTAGACGCTTTTTG